ACTGGACACAAGAGGTATTTTCATAGGTCCCCCTCCCTTTTTTTTTTTTTGAGTTCTGAGTCAGTGTAGCTTTAAAAAGTAGCATAATAGGAGATGTTAAATTTTAAAATCTCCATTTACTTGTTTCTTTTAAGTGTGTAGGGTATCTCCTACTAGACCATAAACATCTTGAAACCACATCTTTGTCGGTTGTTCTCTCATCCCTGGTAACACACTGTGCCAAAAGTTGGCTGCTGTATTTCCTCCAGAGCACGATCCGGGAAACTGCTGATAATGCCAAAGTTGCTTCTAATGGTTCTAACTGCTGTTTATCTACTATCTGTGTCTACGATCTGCAGGGTGCTTTACATATACATCATTGATCTGTACACAGCCCTGCCTATTAATTAGCCTCCTATCTAAGAAGGAAAAGCTGAGTCTCAGAGAAGTTATGTAACTTTCCCAGTATTTTAGGCGAGTAAGCGGCAAAGCTAGGGTTTGAGCCATGTCTGTCTGGTGCCAGAAAGCTCTCACTTTCATTTACCCAAAACACTCCAGAGGGGAGAAAATGTTATTTCAAAACTCTCAAGTGAGATTAAAAACTCTCAAGAAGAGATTATCTGGAACAATCTGTCATTATAAGGCCTGTTATAATAGGTATTTGGATAACGTAGTCTGGATGATCTCCTTTGTTTTTCCCACATTAAAAAAAAGAAAAAAACAACTTTTTCTGGATATGATTTTTGCTTAATTATTTCTTCTGTTCTTGACATTAAAGGTACGTCTGGTTTTTCACTCTAAAATCTTTAAAAAAAAACACATTTTCTATCTGCATTGTTTTCATTACAAGCAAGTTTAAACTGCTGTTTATTTGCCTTTTATGTGACTTCATATATTAATTCAGTTCCTATCCTTTGCCCATTGAACTTTTGACATCTACCATGGTGTTTGTCTTATTCATCTGCACTTTTTTTTTTTTTAAAAGATTGATTTATTTGTGCATGCAGAACTGGGGTACAGGCCAGAGGCTCAGGGGCGGCGAGAGGCTTCACCAGAGACAGAGTGGGGAGCAGAACAGGCAGATCGATGAAGTACACTGCTGAGGAGAGCAGTGGGCAAGTCAGGAGAGGTCTGCCGCGTCATGTGGTCACCTCCGGGGCAGGCGGGAATCGAACTCATGCAGAAGTGGCTTTTAGCTTCTTAGTGTGGTGCTTTAACCCGCTGTGCCATCAGGGAGGGCCTCATCTGCACTTTTATACTCTTGAAATACTAGGATTTTTAAGCCTTTAGCCTCCTTGTTGCCAAATATTTCTGCAATTTTTTATTTCCTTTTAAATTTAAATTTTTAACACAGAGAAATTTTGTTTCAAACCATTTAATCTATTTTATTTTCCCTCCATATCTTTTGTCAATCTTAACTCGAACAGATTAAAGTCCAGTAAATAAGGTATCCTCTTAATTTTGCTCTAGTTCAATTTTTGGAATTTAACTCCTTGATTTATTTACCCGTGATTTATTTGGGTACATGACTGGTCATCATTAATGGGACATTTCCCTAAGTAGTGAGTTTTGATATTTCCTCTCTCTGGTTTAATTTGTCATTTTTCATCTTTGTCATATTTTTTATTCTTATTGAAACTAATGTTTTTGTTCTTTTTTTCTTTTGCAGATCCTGACCCATGTGAATTTCTAAGAAAAAAGTAAGGCTGTAGATATAGAGGTATTTTCTGAAATTATTGGGCCAGCCTAACTGGTTGGGGCAGATTCAGCCTGAGACATTGGAAGTAAAAGTCTACTTTGGGGGTTTTATGAAGATTCCTGTGCTTTCCTTTTGTTATAACATCACTCTCTCTTCTTCCCTTCCTCCTTCTCTTCCTCTCTTCCTACCCATTCTTAGGTCTTATGGGTAAAAGAAAGGAGAGGTAAAGTGATTCAGAAATAGCTGGGGAACATGGGTGTATAAAACTTCCTTTCCATTTACTCAGTGTTTCACTTTTTGCTAAAGACCAATTTTGTTACATACTAAGCCTGAACCTTTCACTGATTTTCCTAAATCAATGCTTTGACAATGTCACGCCATAGATTTTGTGAAAATTAATGTATCACAACCCCCTTTACCTTTAAGTATGGGAGTTAATGAAATTTCAATGAAATGTTCCCCCTGGGAGAAAAAAATATGGTGTGTGTACATAAATACACAAAGTAAATGACTCCTGAAAATAGTTACCTACTTTTGGCTTGGTTAAGAGATAATTAGAAGAGGTGAGCACAGCACCACGAAGATGTTTGCAGCCACTGCAGCAGGAGTTCCATTCCCTGACCCCCCAGGTGACCCACATGGTGCAGCAGCCCTCTCGTGACACACCCGCTGCTCCCCTCAGCAGTGTATTTCAGTACATCTGCCTGTTCTGCTCCCCATTATGCATACAGAATTGGGGTACAGGCCAGAGGTGCAGAGGATGAGAGACTTCACCAAAGAGAGTGGGGAGTAAATATGGCAACCTTATTTTATATAATACTTGGCAGCTAAACAAATGTATTTTTCTTCCTGAGTAGGAGAGCAGATAAAATCAACTAGATTTTACCAAAAGAAAATGAAATTCAGGGAAAGTATGTTCCCTCCCCAAGTTCGTATGGTGGCTGAGAGGTAGAGCTGGTAGAACTAACACTGAATATTCCCAGTATCCACTTAAAATGCCACAGATTACTTCAAATAAATGTATGCTGAGTGAGAAAACTGTCCTGTGGGTAACTAGCAAGATAGTTTCTACCTAACAAAAGACTAGAAAAAGAATGGGGTTTAAAATGCTGTTGTCATGGTAATGCTATGGTTATTGCTTGTGTTTGTTTGGCTAATTTGGTTTGGTTCTATGAGGAAACTGCTATCTCCATTATCCATCTCTGTTCCCATCCTCAGTTCTTGCTTAAAAAATGTGCTGTCTGATTACTAAGGAAAAAAATATTTCCTGAATATTAGCACTGGAGTTAAATAAGAGAGATTTGCTTATCCTATCAACTCCTAATCTGAAGTCACTTCCATAGTGGTTGTTATATAAGTGTACATTTCCTGCTCTACACCCAAAGCGAAGGATTTCAGAAAGCATTCTCTGCTCTTGGCCAACTATGGGAGACTAATTATCAATGAAGACATGGAACAGTAATGTAATCCTCATTAAAAAAAAAAAATCTGCCCTCACGAGTTAAAATCCTTCAGCCAGGTTCTTCTGTTTCTGTACTGGATCAGAAATGACACTGTGAGGTAATGCTATACCAGAGGGAAAAGGGAACCTGTGTTAAGATGGAGCTATGTAGATAGATGTAGCTATGGTGACAGAAAGCACGAGAAGTGCATGGAAAGGAGAGAGAGCAGACGACTCACAGAATTAGCAAATGTTAATGAGATTATTTCCGATTGCCACGAGAACCCAATTTAAGTATCCATAGGAGTAAGCCAGGAAACTATTAACAATATTGTATAAAAGGATACATGAAAAACACGAGTTAGTTGGTGAGGTGAAGGTAGAGAGGGAAAGCTTGACTTAGATGTGATGATGGAAGAGACAGACACTAACTTGCTAGAAAAGATTAATATATAATTAGATGTTTTGTCTGCAACTATGGTTTTCTCTTTCCTCCACCCACCCGGCCTCCCTGGAAAGTTGGCTTTGTTTGTCTTAGAAGGGTGATGTGTTATCTGTGTGGCAAAGCCATTCTCTAGTTGACTAAGGATGTAGGTTTTATTTCTGGTAATGAACACTATCATCATTGTTCTAGGTATGAATAGGCCTGGCTTGGGAGTTGCATCATATTACATAACAGAATCCCAAACATTTCACCACCAAAGAATATTTTTTATTATCTGTACCCACTACCACCACATCTCATGTTTTGATTTTTTTGTTATTACTTACAAAATACACTACATTTTTAAAGTCTTTTGGAAATTAAGCATATTTATAAGTATTAATCAGTCTCCTATCAATATGAGCCAATATATGGAGAAACAAATTTGGCATTTTAGGGGCCCCCTTGCAACCTAATCGTGGGTGGTCCAGAGTTCCGCTTGACTTTTTGAAATATCCCAAAGGTTGTGGACTCCCATTATTACCTTCATAGGTCCCCTAAGTATTTGGAAACTTTAGATTGTGAATCCTTGACTTAAGGTGGGAAATCCAGACAAAATGCAGACAGGTTGGTGGCAATAGGAAGGGGAAGTTATTCCAAAATATGAGATGTTGAGGGAGGGAGTGGGAGCCGGCATCATTCTTGCCACCTTACTTTATCTCACAATAAAGGATTATTTTTCCCTCATGTTTCAATCCAGTGTGAGTTGGTGCTATCTTTTAGCAGTGCCACCTAAAATATGTGGCTTCTGGTATCACTGCAATAGGGAAAGAGAACTAGATTAGCACAGGCGTTCTTACATGCATTCCCCCACAGGGGATACCCAGCCCTTCTGCTGAAGTTAGACACAACAAGCCCATGGTTCCTAACACCTGCCAGGGAGACTGGGGAAATTACAGGATACCTTGGATACTTAGGAAACACAAATTGTCCCTGCACTAGGTAGATTAATAACAATCAAGAAAGTTCAAGGGAGCAAAGTAGGGCAGATAGGGGGTGGACAGTCTGTCTGAAAGTATTTTGTAAAATGTCTTCAGAATCCAGTGCTATCAAGACATTGGCAAATTGAGGATTTTTCCCATTAACTAATATGCATTTTACCTGGGGTGTTCTGGAGAGAAAATGCTGGGGTTTTTTTTCTCCCCTATGTATCCATTGTGTCTTTGTTTTATAATATAATATTAATGATTCTACGAGTGAAAATTTTGGGTTCCTAATACATAGGAATACTCTGAGTATTTTTGGCACTCTTTAAACACATCACATAAGGCATTGGTTTTACTCAAACCCTTCCCCTCCACCCCATGAGATATGTTTGAATAAGAGTCATTTGTAACCACATTTGTTTAGCATTCTCTTTGAATTAATCAATTGGTATTTGTTAGATTTTTTTCTAGGAAAAGAATTCAAGAGCTTTCTAGGCCTAAAAAAGATTGGGGAGTCCCAGATAGGTAAGGCAATATTCTATGGTCTTATTTATGGTGACTGTGTTCCTTACATTAAATGGGCAAGTATCACTTTTATCTGCCTATTAACCCAACATCAAATGTGTCTATTTCTTTGCTTGATGGATAATCACCTCACACATGGAAGGTTAACACTAGGTCAGTGGTTCTCAAATTTGTCTACACATTGGAATCACCTGCGGGCCTTTAACATTCACCCAGTTTACAGGCCCCAAAACTGGGATTTGTGTCAAGGTCTGTTGCCCACAAATTCCTTTACGTACCTAATATGATACTGACATTTCAGAAAGCTCACTCAGTTTGATGGAATGGAGAACTAGAGTAAAGAAGGTTGATTTGGAGTTATTACAATAATGCAGGAGAGAAATAAAGTCTCTCAAGACAGCTAAAAGAATGGTTTGAGTGAAGAGAGAAAAGACTTAGCGATAAATGAAATGGAAGAATCCAGGGTAAAGGAGTCAAATAGGATTTCTTGGTTTCTGTGTTTTGAAATAAGGGAGGAAATGCTTTTAGGACTGTGAAAGGAAATCTAAGAGGGGTAGGATTGGGAAGATAGAGCATTTGATCATGAGGCATGTTTGTGAGACCTAGTAGGCATTTGGAAATATAGATTTAAAAATGTTCAGAAAATATCCAAGAATACTTGCAGTTACTATTTTGGAATCATCCATGTTTAGAAATATTAGAAAAAAATGAGGAGAAGGAAACTGGGCACATACTGTCATTGAGGTTGTAAATGACATGTTACCTAAGGAAGCTGAGAAAGAGCGAGCGGTAAAGAAGCTGGAAGGAAGTAGAGGGCTCAAAAGCCGAGGAAGAAGTGACTACGAGAAATATGGATCCTATGACGACCCTTGCAAAGAATTTGTAGTTGGCTAGGGTGATGTGGAGGATTAAAAAGTCTTATTTTATTATTGTTTTAATTTCCACAAGTTGTCCACAAATTGTAAAATTCTGTGATAGCATTCTTGAAGTAAAATCAGCCTGTCAAAGCCATTTTTAAAATGTCCATGAACATTTCTGATCACTTAATTTTTCTGGTTTTTAACAGAAATTTTTTTTTCTTCCTTTGTGCTACTAATAATTCATTATTTCTGTTAGCGTCTTAAATGAGATAAATTTTGAAAAGACATGCTGTTTGCTATCTCTGAACTGTTAAAATGTAAAGATTCTACTATACTATTTCTATTGATACACTCTTATTTGTCATATTCTGCATTCTAATGTAATGTCACACTATTGATGGTGAAATAATGCGTACTTATTTTCTTCTACTTTAAGTTATTATTAATTATTTGTTTTACGGGGTATGATACTTTTTTTCTTTGTTTGTTTTTCTCTCCATCAAACAACCTTTACCCATACCCCATCTGCCTCCAGAAAATTGTTCTGGGGTAATCAAGATCCTATTCGCCCGGTTTCCCAGAAGGCTTTGAGGGTTCAGCTGACCAAAAGACTTGACAACCTTGCCCAACCCAAGGAAGTCTCCTACCGATATGTACCCAACAGGTTAGTGTTTGTAGTTATCAGGTTACTTAATCAGGAGTCTCTGAAGACAAGCACAGGTGGCGATACTCACCACTCTACTGAGGAAAATGAATGTAGAGCACAATCTTTTAGACTAAAAGCCATCAACTGACCCATCTGTAGTCTAATTTATGCAAGTAGTTGTTCCCAATCTGATATTTTTGTCCATTTTTTTTAGAGCATGTTCTAATGTCTAACTCTTGCAGACTGGCATTTTATAATATGTTGACTGGCCAGGATTTTTGTTTTTCAAGAAAGGGAGGTAATCAAGGTTTGTCTGTAGTTACAAAAACATCTCTTTAGATATTTTTCAGGAATTCTGCAGATCAAGCCATTACTTTTCAAGTTAAGTTTTTTGGTTTTGGTATGAAAAACCATTTTAGGAGTTGAAGAGATAATTAGAATCATCTGTTTAGACTCCTTCAGAGGATGAGGCTCTCCCTTTTGCTCTTAGTTCTCCTCACTTTGCCCTTGGAAAATTCCTTTCAGATATCTGAAAAAATCTATAATTAATTCTTTAATAGTACACAAAATGGCAACTGGTTTAGATAATATATAATTGATGCAAGTTTGGAGAACACACCCCTAAAAAGCTAAAATCAGAGATTTTAACAGACAGGAACCACAGAAAATAACACATACACACTAAGATTCCTTCTGTTTAAAAACAAAAGATATATATGTGCGCACACACACACACTTTTTTTTTTCCTGGAAATAATCATAGGAAATTACTAATTATAATTAGTTTAAGAAGAGAAACTAGGAGTAGGGAGGACTTGGTTTTTATTTTTCTCCCTTTCAATTCCCCCAAGGAAATATAGTCTCTTGTTCTGAATTCTAAAAGAATAGACTTTTTACATGTCACTTTATTCTATCTTGTGTGAATCACAATATAGATGACAATAATAAGTGACAACCTCCTTAAAAGCAATCATTTTATTGTTTGTCTTAGCTCCTGCAACATCTATCACAATGTATTTTCAGAATTAAATTCAATGGTAACCTGGTCCCCAACCATGCCAGGCTCCTTCATGTATTTTCCAGAAAGAAGGTGAAATAAATAATGCACAACTGGGAACCTTTTGTTCAGACAAAGTAATTTCCATTAAGGAATTTGAACAATTTCCAAATTCATATTTTAAAATAATTTTTTAAAAACAAATATATGAATGGGATTACAACCTGTAAATCACTCTGAAAAGTGTACCCATTTCAATTAATATCAGGTTAAAAAAGAGTTTTGTTTCAGACAAGGGTGTCCACTATCATCACTGCTCTTCAGCATAACACTGGAAGTTCTAGCCAGAGCAATAAGACAGGAAAAAGGCATACAAGGAATTCAAATAGGGAAAGAAGAAGTAAAACTATCCTTATTTGCAGATGATATGTTAATTTATATGGAAAACCCTAAAAGCTCCACAGAGGAACTAATCAAAACCATCCACCAGTTTAGCAAGGTAGCAGGTTATAAAATCAACACACAAAAGTCAGAAGCTTTCCTCTACACAAACAACCAAGCAGAAGAAACAGAGACAAAAAAAAAAAACCATCCCCTTTTCAATTAAAACAAAAAGAATCAAATACCTGGGAGTCAACCTAACAAAGGAGGTAAAAGACCTCTACAAAGAAAATTACAAAACACTGTTAAAAGAAATACAAGAAGACACCATGAAATGGAAAGACATCCCCTGCTCATGGATCGGGAGAATTAACATCATCAAAATGGCCATCCTGCCAAAAGCAATATACAGATTTAATGCCATCCCCATAAAAATCTCAATGACATTCTTCAAAGAAATAGAAAAAATGTTGATGAGATTCATATGGAACAACAAAAAACCTCGAATAGCCAAAACGCTCATGTCTAAGAAAAATCAAAATGGAGGCATTACAATCCCAAAAAAAGAGTTTTGTTTCAAACATGGAGTTGGCAGTTTGGGCAGCACGTGACACTGGGAACCCAAGAAATGTGAATGAGAGAGGTCATCACCAAAAGAATGGAATAAAATCCATACATGACAACAAACTTGCCCATGGGAGGAATTTAGACCAGCAAGAGAAAGGAGTTAGGGCTGGGACACTGGGCTCAGGGGCAAACATGAGAAGCCACCAGGGAGATTGAGAGGGTCAGCTGAGGATGAGAGGAGGGGAGTCCTCAAATCACCTTGACTTTCATCCATGGTAGGTGTCCAGCATATTTTCACATTGCAGATTTTTAAAGTTATCCTTAATGCTCTGCTGTATAACAAGGATATACATACATATAAATATATATATATGTGTGTGTATATATATATATATATACACACACACACATATATATATTTTAAAGATTTATTTATTTATGTTTACAGAACTGGGGTACAGCCAGAGGTGTGCAGGGGTGAGAGGATTCACCAGAGACAGAGTGGGGAGCAGAACAGGCAGAGAAACGAAGTACACTGCTGAGGGGAGCAGCGGGCTGGTCAAGAGAGATCTGCTGTGCCATCTGGGTCAGATCCCTGGCCAGGGATCAAACTTGTGCTGCAGTGGCTTCGGAGAGTTTCATAGTGCTGTGCTTTAACCCATTGCGCCACTAGGGAGATCCCCAACAAGGATATTTTTTGAATGATGACAAAAGTCTCTTTTTCGATCTATACCTCAGAGAAAACCACCCATTGTCCTCATTTTGTCATATTTTCTTCTAATAACTTTTCTGGCTCTGTGTACATATTTTTATATGTAACCTACTTAATTTTTTGAAATCATAAGCATGGAATTTGCATTGTACTTTTTTATGTATTACAAATCCTAAACTTTAAAAATAAAGAGCATTAATTCTGTAGGTAGTTCTAGTATTAGAGACAGAGGGCATTTCCAAGTTCTTTTCCTCTGTATAACACTGTTCTGTGTGAACTTACTTGTATATGAAAATTGTCATGATTTTTTAATTATTCCCACGGCTTTGATACGCATGAGGTAACTACTGCATCTGAACTTAAGAAGGTTGTTAGGGCTTTCTGTGTGTTTGTTGAATGACCAGTCTTTCTGCTGGGTTGGCTTTTTGTGGGAAGCTGTTGGGCAGGTAGTGAGGGAAGTTAAGGTAACAAAATAGGTGAAGATACTCTTTGTTATCTGAAATTTAGTTTCCAAAATAATTGAAGCCACCATTTCTGTCTCTTTCAACATGCAACTTAAGCAAAAGTCAGCAAACTTTTTCTAGAAAGAGCCAGATAGACATACTTATTTAATCTTTGTAACTGCCCTAAAATTTATTATTTTCTACATTTTCTGGAGTATTTAAACACTGCTGTGTGCTGGCAGCAACAGCTATAAGTAGTGCAGTCAGCACATATATTCCTGACGTTTCAGGTTTGCCACACCTGAGAGAATTTGAGTAAACGAGTTAGTTATCTCTCTTAGGTCCTCCATTTTCCTTTTTTGGTATCTTTCACCTACTTCTTGGGCTTCTTCTGTTTCTGTTCTTCAAGTGCATTTTGCCTTCGTGCTCCTCAGTCACTTCTTCCTCCCATGCCTTATGGGTCTGATCTCTCTGAAGTGCCCCATTATTCAAAATCACCTCTTCCTCCTATTTCTCCAGTTACCAAACCCATTTCCTGCAAAAAGCTAATCCCCAGCGTGGAGGGTCCCTGCCTGCTTGAGCTTGGCTGTGGACAGAGGTGGGTTGAGTGTGTCAGACGGTGAAGCTCGGACTGGGTAGTCAAATGCCCTGAAGGTGGGGGGGGGGCCTGGACAAGCATCAAGGCTGGGGGTTACCAGCAAGGGAGATACAGCTTCCACGCAAACCAGAACTTACATCAGCAACCAGCAGCCAGTACCTGAGCAGATGAGCACAGATCCACATCCATGAACATGCTGCAGGAGCAGAAGTCTTTTGGAAAATAATAAAAGCACAGGTGGGACTGCAATTCGAGTTAACTCCAGTTCTGAAGTAATCAATATTATTTTCCTTTCCACAGATGATGTGCTCTGATTCAAGAAGGATGGGAGGACAGGCAGGAGTGATAAGAATAGTGCATTTATTATTTATTCTACACAAAATCTCTGTTAACAAAACCAGTATTAATTAAGTAACCTACATATGTTCAAGCAGAATTTATCCCTAAACTCAGAGTTCTTGAACACAGAGACAAGTATGGATGGCATTCATCTGAATAACTAAAAACATAGTAAAACGATTTAAATTTTTATATAGGTGCCAGAGAAAGTACTCAGTTTTAAAAACAACACATTTCTCTTTTCACCAAGATGTATTTTTTTGTCTATGTAGAAACTGCAATGGGATTATTATAGAAAATTATCTGATTTGGAATAGAATGTTAGAAACCTGTTAAAAACTTAATGAGGGCCCTCCCTGGTGGCACAGTAGGTTAAAGCACAGCACTAAGAAGCTAAAGCCACTTCAGCATGAGTTTGATCCCCGCCTGCCCAGGAGGTGACCCACATGGCGTGGCAGCCCTCTCCTGACCCGCCGCGCTCCCCTCAGCAGTGTACTTCATCGATCTGCCTGTTCTGCTCCCCACTCTGTCTCTGGTGAAGCCTCTCACCCCCCTGCACCTCTGGCCTGTACCCCAGTTCTGTATGCATAAATAAATAAAACTTAAAAAAAAACTTGATGACTATAAACATTTCTGATATTTTTTCATGTGGAAAATAGCTGAGAAATAAAGGACTCTCCATTCTACCTGTCTCCTAGGCCTGGGAAATCAATGAGGTAATTTGAATTTATGCTTATTTCATTTCTCTTCTACAACTTTCAGGGCTCAATATTATTATGGCTGTGGTAGAGAATCTGTCATCTGGGAGATCCCTTCTCCAGCACTGCTCAGTCGACCCTCTAAAAGGATCCAGCAACTGGCACAGCCCAACAGATTCAAGATAGACCGTAAAATAGCGAGGTACAGTTCCTTTATAATCTCCATGGGTCCTAATTTAATTTGGTTAAGTATCACATTATTCTCACTTTAGTGTGTACAGTTTCATAAACTAAAAAGTTAACTTGCATTTGAAGAATCAGAATACAAAAGCAAATATTGACTGCCAATATTTGATGGTTATCAAAAGAGCATCGTCAGTATATTTGATTTTGGACAAAGCTAAAATTCACAGTAAACTTACCCTTCTTAGATAATTAAAAGGAAACACAAGATGAAACATAGCAGGTTTTTGAAATTTGAAGAGCCTGTGTTTTCCTATGCATTCATGATTTTTTCCCCAAATGTTCCTTCTTTTGCTTAGAATGCTGTATCACTCCTTATCTTTAAAAGACAGCTTTAAGTGATACCTTCTACATGGGAGCTAATAATGTGATGTGGGAAAATATAGGTTGTTTTAATGGACTATATTTAGTGTGCAATTACAAGAAGGTGATCATGCCTTCCATCAGGACTCATTAGGTATTCATGTATATATAGATATCCACTTATGAAATATATATAGCTACTTATGGAATATATATATCCACTTGTGGGATATATATTATATATATAATTATATATACACCATATATGTGTATGTATCTCCACTTATGAATGTTTTACCCTAACAAGTTGATAATAAATTTGAGACTATTTAGAAGACTATGAATGAGATGCTAAGGTTTTTGGAAATTGTTATATAAAAAACAATTAAAATAAGTGACATATTTAGCATAGAGAAGAGACCAAGACAGCAGTGACAACTGCTTTCAAATGTTTAAAGGGTCAGCATCTGAAAGAGGAAGAGGAGGTGGAATGCAAATTATTATAGTCATCTTAGAACATGAAGAATTTACAAAGCAGCAGATGTAAACTAGATATAGGGTAGTTTCTCTGACTAGCTATTCTAGCCACTTATCTGGAGAGGCAGCTACCATCTTCACCTCAGCCCCTGCAGGTGTTCAGGCCCTGGCTGGAAAGTGATGTTAGGTGCTAGCTTTATGTGCTTTATAGGTTTCTGAGGATGAAATATGTGGGTTCTGAGGATGAAATATGTGGGGAGTGGGCTCTGAAAATTGGCCAAGTTGCTGGGAGCTAAGACTAGCCTTTTCTCCAACTGCATCACGGGAGAGACTGGCTATCACAGATGCATCCTTAGCAGTAGAAGTTTTACCACAGGGATTTACTGTGAGAATTTGGTAGGAAGTGAAATTTTTTTTTTTTTAAAGATTTATTTATTTTTGCATACAGAACTGGGATACAGGCCAGAGACTCAGGGGCAGTGAGAGGCTTCACCAGAGACAGAGCGGGGAGCAGAACAGGCAGATCGATGAAGTACACTGCTGAGGGGAGCAGCGGGTGGGTCAGGAGAGGTCTGCCACACCATGTGGTCACCTCCGGGGCAGGCGGGAATTGAACTCATGAGGAAGCGGCTTTAGATTCTCAGTGCTGTGCTTTAACCTGCTGCGCCACCAGGGAGGGCCCAGAAGTGAAATATTTTTAAAGCTGCAAGTCTCAACCCATCATGGAGTCATGAAATAATAACTAGTTTTTAAAGATAAAATTTCAGAAGTCAGAAGACTTTGCCTAGGTAAAGCACTGTTTCAGATACACACAAACACAGATTTACATACCTAATCAATATGAAATGTATTTCTGACTATGGATCATAGTGAAAAATAAAACAGCTAAGAAATAGATTCTGGTAAACAAAACAAAACAATATTATGGGAGAAGAAGTTCCTAATATAGAAACTATCTACCAACCACCTACCTATGTAATTATATAAATTGATTGAAAAATACAGTTATTCTAATGCTATTTTATGTTACATTTGCTTATAGGGCCTTGAGTAATTATTCAACAAGAGGTTCTTTACAAATAGCTGATCCTTCTCCCCGGATATTACGACTCTCATTAGCTAAAGAGATAGATCCAGACTATGTTCCTCCAAAAAATGTAAGTGGGTTCCTGTGAAAGAAACAGTTTCTAACTGACTTTGTAACACATAACTTGTTTCTAACTCCCTGATAACTACTTGTACAGTTTTCTTTTCTTCCTATTTATTTTCACTTCTCATCAAATCTGTTCCATCTACCCTGTGCCTAATGCATCAGTCTGGATTTGATCAGAGAAGCAGAACCAGTATGAGGACATAGAATAGATAAGCAATTATGGAAGCTGATGGAGCAGTTTCCGGAAGGGTGCTAGGGCAGCTGGGTCTTGTGCTGATGAGAGATTCAAGGCAATGAGAGATGGAAGGGGTTTCAGCAGTGCCCTGGAGGTGACACGTTGGGGAAGCCTTTACAGATTTTTCAGGCAAGGAGTTATCTTTCTCAAGCAGGGGAGAAAAGATGCTTTGATGATAAAGAGGATTCAGTAGTAGTTAGTGGGTTAAAGCCCCCCTTCGTTAGCATCTTCCCATACGTCTCCATTCTAATTTTCAAGGTTTCTTTATTTCCCAAACATGGCCCTAACTTTAGCATCAGAGACCATATGTTTGAAAATCCAATTTGTGCTATAACTAACACAATTTGATTATAAGCTTGGTTTTTTAAAATAATTTTTAGTTGTGTCACCATATAAGATAGGTTTTCTTTTAGGTAAGTCAAATAAATGCTTTTTATGTCCTTAAGTACACAGTAAAGTGGGAATATTATTTTTCTTCCAGTGCACTTAGAAGCACCAATCAACCCAACTGTGCATTTTTTTTTATTAAAAAGTTTATTTTTACATCATTTTGCACATTTTTTTTTCATCTCAATTGTAATCCCCACGGGTTTCCCATCACCAAATCACCCCTGTGCCACCACCA